ATATATATATATATATATATATATATATATATATATATATATATATACTCGTATATATATATCATGAGATTATTCCCAGCTGGGCCACCGGATCGTAACAACTTCGTGGCATTGAATGTAGTTCCTTAGGACAAATACAAAAAGGTGCATTGTACTGGTTATGAACGTCAAACTTTTATTACAAATTAAGATAATAATAAGAGAATTGTGTAATAGATAAAATTATTTATTAAAAATCATTTCTTTTATAATACATTTAATTACTATAGAACAACAAATTTTGCACTAAATAAAAGGACAGTGTGTACATCATTATTAATTATTTCAGATAAGGCTGAACACTCACTATTGATTTATTTATTGCGTTTTGGTTGAAGTCTTAACATTAGCACTCTTTTGAAATTATCATTAATAGAACTAGATTTACTAGAGATATATCTTAAAATACAATGGCAGAATGTTAGTTTATGAAAATAAATAATAAAATGTAGAAATAGGAACACTAGCTAGTAATTATTGATTCTATGAACAAAGACGTGAATAAGATCAGGTACAAGATCAGAAAACAGAAATCATTTGGTACACCCAAAAGGCAACTAGTTCTAAATGCATTGTCAGTGACCACTACTTTATTAAAGTAAAATTACCGGAGTTTTTTAAATAATTATAATTAATTCAAGTCAATTGCACGTGCTGGAGTTTTAGCAAGATTACAATAATTTCAATATTTATTTTTATTGAATATCATCATGTTTTTAGTAACATGATATTCTATATTTTTTGCGAAAGTACTCCACTAGTTTGTTATTATTATCGAACAAACACAAAGAGCTTCGATACGACTGGACGTGCCAGCGTCTGATGCTCTAACGTGGATACTATCACTCAAGTGCCTGTTAGTGGCGGATCAAAAGAATTTTTCTCTATCAAAAGAATCTTTGTATCAATGATAATTACAATTAATTAAATCAATATAAATTTGCATGTGCTTAGTAAACAATTTATTTTTCTTAGTCATTTCGTTAATTTCAATTACAGCTTTCACCTAGTATTATTAAAATATTGAAGTAGCACTTTCAACTTTCTCTGATCTGTAAATTCTTACTAGACCGAAGGAGCACTGTTATGAAACTAAACGCAAGTTTATTGACTTTTAAAAGTATAAATTAAGTTAAAATTAAAACGTATGTATTTAAAGTTTATTTTTGAATAAATGTTCATTATCATTTTGTCCCATAATTTATTAAGCGCAGACCACACCGCGAGCGAAGCTAAGCTAATTTAGCATAGCTCACGTAGCTGCATGCTATCAACTATGGACCTTAGCTCTGTTAGCTTACTTCGCGGTGTGAACAAATGTACGAAAACATGCCGCGTCTACGTGAGCTAAAACTAATTTAGCTTAGCTTCGTTCGTGGTGTGGCCTGTGCTTTAGATATATGTACATGTACGATGTTCTAGATCCCGAACTCCCAGTGACAATGATGATGATACCACTTACCAAAGGCAATATCTTGTTCCCAACAATTTGTACAGTCGGACAGGTACGATAAGTGTAAAATTTATATAAATATGTATTTTTAAAACATTTATATATATTTTTGTAAATAGTATTTCGGAAACGAAGTGCTTATGGAAATCGCTTACCCAACATTTTGTCTCATATTATGATTAAATATCTAGAATACAATAAAATTCTTACAAAAACTGAGGGAGATGAGTGAATTGAGTATGAGATTTCGACAACTGTAACACGTGTTCGACTGCACAAAATTCACAACAAATCAATAACCGTGTGATGTTTCAAGACTGACAACCAATCATTTTATATTTTGGCAATAATTTAAAAACCCTATTAATTTACATAGTCTAATCGTGTAAGCGATATAACACTTAAATGGCTAGCGCCGATTCATTTGTCCGATTCCGATGAACACCCTGAACCTGAACTAGGACCTGAAATAGAAATATTGCCTTGTTGAAGAAAGAAATTAGAACAGCCACAGTTCAAGTGAGTATTTACGTAGGACTATCGATATACAAATCAATGCCACTACCATGAGATTACAGCGAGTTCTCGCTAGTGACCGCGTGAAATATTTGTATACAAAATGTTGTTTCTTCTTGTGACCGCTAGGGCCGCGGCATAATTTGCCATACAAAATTGTAAAGTAATTTACGCGGTCGCTAGCGACAACTGTCACAGTAATCTTGTGGCAGAGGCGCTGTAATATGTTGACCTAGAAAACAGTCAAACATCGAAAGTACGTGCAATGACAGTTTTCGATGTCAATGATCGATAGTTGTACAACGTAAATGATAAGAAAGACCCAGTCGTATTGGAACTTTATGAGCAAATTAAGGGTGTATTTACACAGCGGGTTATATCTATCAAACTAAAATGTACATTCAGTAAATGACGTACGTGAGATGTCCTCTTAATTTAGACTGATTTCAAGCAATAATTACTTTAAAAAAACCAGAGTCATGGTTGTATCATAATTAGAGACTGTGGTATATTTACGTAAATTTATAATATTAGGGGTTAAAGTATGAAATTGCCGTTTTATTGCAATA